AATGGGGCAATTGGCGTCTCCCTTTCAGATTAGGGTTAAAGGAGGGCTCTGTGCCTAGTTGCTGGCATCAGTGATATTCAGAAAATGGGACTTATTTTGTTACATTGGGCAGGTCAGTTGGCATCTCTGGTATGGCCTTGCCAGCTGCGTGGTCAAGGCCTTGAGTGGATGATCTCATTGAGTCTGAAGGTGCCAGTTGGGCAGGGTTGATCTAGGAGAGGATGTTGGCAGCTAAGGTCACCAATGTGCTGGGTGACCCTGAGCTCCACCCTGCCCTCTCTGGGCCTTCTCTGTGCACGAGAAGGCTGAATTGGGGACAGTGCCATGAGCCTAGTCCAGCTGAGCCTGCCGTAGGTGATGGGCTACATTTTCCAGAGGTAAATACTAAGACCTGGCTGGAGAAGGGTGTCCCAGGGTGGGCCTGGGCCCAGGCTGGGGCTCTGGGCCCTTATCCCAAGGCCTGGCACCACCCAGGGACCCCTGGGTCCTTGTGGGCTGTAAAGCCACCGCAGAGGCCCTCAGTGCCCTGCCGTGGGCCTTGGGCCAGGCTGCAGCTCCCGCCTCTGTGGCCTTGCTCCTCTGGGCTCCCACAGCGCCTGGCCTCCCCTGCGCTGCCCGCCCTGTCTCCCTGGGAATCCACTGTGGTGTCCACTGGAGCTCCTGGGGCTCTTCCTCCAAAGGGGCTTCAGTGTCCCCATCCAAGTAGAGGGCTGGTGACCCATGGTTCCAGGGTGTCCCAAGAGGACAGTAGCAAGTCCTTGCTGCAAATCGGGTGCTTAGGAAGCAGGGCCGGGGCTGCGCGGCCGGGCTCCTGGCATCAGCCTTGCTGGAGCCCACTGCTCCTGAAGCCGCCCAGTGGGAGCAGGGCTGGCATCTACTAGGGCCAAGGGCCGGGTGGCGGACCGTCCACTGCGCCTGGCGGCTGGTCTGCGTCGCCGTTCCCGGGCAGAGGCCTCCGTGTTCAGGGCCTCATTCCAGCTTGAGTCCAGAGTCGTGTCGCTTAGCGACTTGAGCCTCCGCCTCTGCGCACCCCGTCGTGAGGACTCCATCTGCGGACACGCCTCAGTCGCTGGGCGCCCAGGGGCCCTCACGTCTGTCTGTCTGCTTCCTTTTCCTCTTCAGGCTCAGACCTCATCCAGTCCTGCTCTAAACTGGGCCTCCAGGCCCTCAGACCCCGAGGCCCATTCTGGCTTCCTGGGAAGGAGCCCTGGGATGGATTAGTAATGTCTGCCGTGGGCACAGGGTGGGGCGTGTGGGGCGTGTGCCCTGATCTTGTCATTCCTGGCCTGTCCAGGCCTTCTCTTTTCATGATGGGGAAAGGAGGCCAGAAAGACAGACAGGT